TTGTCTCAATTGACTGTCACCGTCAGTTCCGGCCGATTAATGCCAGCACAAACACTATGCACAGTCGGCTACCGAGTCAGCGACTGAATACCCTGACAACACGACTGCGGCCGCTACCACTACCGCCCCGAAGGACCATTGTGACTACAAGTCGGTAACCGCGACTGCTTCGTCCGACAGCACCAATAAAACTCCATTAACCAGCAGCACGTCTATAACTACGCAGACTTTTACTTCGATTTCAGCTACCCCCACGACATCGACGTAGACGGAGGAGGTTGCCCTGGTGTTCCGTGGCCCTATAAACATCTACAGCGTCGCCGTCCTGAACGCCACCTCCGTCAGCGACAGTGCCGTCGTACAGCCAGAACGGCATCTAGAACAACATGCTCTTTATGAACTAACCTGAATATGACACCGCCAGTCTTATCCGAATGAATATTAGTAAGCTCGGGTTTTCCGTCCAGCAACACTCCACACCACTACATTCTATCCGATTATATATATCGACGCGTCACAAAATGTATTGTTCAGTTGCCCCAAGTTCTACTCAAAAACATCGCATAGCGACAGAAGTATCGCATCGTTAGCGAGTATCGTGTCAGAAGTAAGCGTCCTTCGCGCAGGCTTGAATAAAGCAGCTTCTAATCTCATATGGGCAAATATACTTTTTTCACTATGCTAATGTGTCGTACAAGCGGCTTTTGATAGGGAAGGTTACATGTGTTGTTTTCACTATGCAAATTTATCTTCAGTAAGGAATACCACCAACAGTCGGTCAATCACTGCTGGATCTACCGACAATAGGCGATCATGGCGCGCGGCCAGCAAGTGCGGCGAACGTCTACACCCCCGCGAGGCGATGACACACAATCGTTGGTTTCGTTATTGATTAGTTCTGATGAGGCTACGGTCGTAGGCGACGTGACAGCAGCAAGTTGTGGCGACCTAGGTCAGGCCGGAGAAGAGCTGCCACTCCATCGTCAAGATCACCATGTCGACGGTGGTCAAGGTAACCATGGTGAAGAACAACGTGCTCGTCATCAGCTGATACCAAGCACACAGAGTGAATTTACACAGCAAACGCAGCTAGGTAAGGGGAAGACAAAAGGTTCTCACAAGCACAGCACTACGCAGACACGAAAGCGGCAGCGAAGTCTTGCCGAACTTATGAATGGCGCCACCGCAGATGATGAATCCTCTTGCGCTGGAGCAGCGGGGAAATCTGCCGTGGATGGAGACGCGAATCCTGACCCAAATCCTACACGAACGTCTACAACACGCGGCGGATCGAAACGATCGCGTGCCCAAGCAGCACGAAATCACAACGCGCTTGTTTCCCGCGCTTACATCGAGAAACTAGTGGCGTATTCACCCGTCCTAGAAGTCTGGCTAAAGGACAGCGTGTATTCTGATGTCGGAAGCGCGTATATCGTTGGACGCGTAACACGATTCGACAAAAAAAAAGCCCTGCTTGAAATTTAATGGATCGACACACAGTTCCAGAAGAAAAGTGAGTACTTGAACATAAGCATAGTGCAGCGCGGCGTTGAAAACTACAGTAACATAATGTCGTCACCATCGAAACCGGCATAGACCGCTCTTTGTCATGCTGATCAAAGCGAGATCGAAGTTCAAGAAGATGCCAGTGACATTGAAGCTGTGGAGAACGACCGCTACGACCCAGAATTTGTTTTTCCGTCGTCGATGACGGAAGTGGAGGCAATCAATTGAAAACTTGAAGTTTGACCCCAGAAGCACAAATGGAAGCTCCTTCCAATCTTTACGAACATCATGACGGAGGCACGGAGACTAGGATTCGACCGGAATATTGTCATTTGTTTACGCACTCACCTTCATCGGCATTTTTTGCGTACATCCCTGTCTACTTTTGATTCAAAGTAGCTCACCAAACTAACAAAGCGATGCGTGAATACGAACGTGAAACCCGTATCACACACCGACCTCTTTTTACGTTGCAAGAAGTGATGACTTTTCTGGGTATTTTGCTGTATATGGCACCGGTGGACAAGGGTGAATACGCTAATTATTGGGGACAGCAAGTGGAAGATAGAATATTGGGTGGCTGCAGTGTTGGGCTCGATAATATCATGCCTCTTGCAAGATTCAAGCTGTTACGAGTGTCATTTTGCTTTAGAGCAATTTCAAAGCGAGCTCAACATTCGGCTAACGTTGCAACACCAATTTCTTCACTGAGGGCTGGACCTACTGCTGCTTCAGTGAATGACGCTCTCAATGACGATGCGAGCGCCACTGCAGATGGCTCGAGCGTGGCTACACCTCAGAGCTCATCGGAATACCAGCGAGAGGGAGTTGAGTCGACTTCAAGGTCGGACCATCAAGTGCATACCGATCATGCTACTAACAACATGCCGATAGCATCGCCTACACAATTATCTACGCAGCAACCTCAAAGTACGCATCAAGCGTCAAATGAAACCAGCAAGCGAGATGCACTCGCTCGAATTCGAACACTTGTGAATTTTTTATGAAAGTGACTGGCGGAAAATACGTCGAAGTTGGTCGAGATGTTGCATTGGATGAAGCCAGCGTGGCATGTCGTTCCAAGTTCGGAAGGCGGCTTATCATGTTTAACCCCATGAAACCAGGAGGGAAATACCATTTTCGGCTTTATATGCTGTGTTGTTCTACGACTTGGATTGCTGTCAATTTCCGAGTGCACTGTGAGAGTGATGTATCGGATCGGCTTCATAATATTGCATCTGATGCTGAAATTGAGGAGCTGCGCCAAGATTTAGATGCACTCGCCGTCGTTCGTGGCCAAGTAGTGGAAGTTGCCCGTCCACTGTATCATACCAGTCGGGTTATTAACGCGGATAACTACTACATGTCCGTGCAACTACTTGCTGCATTGCAGCTCAAAGGACTTTACGGTCGAGGGACAGTTCGAAAAAATAGCATGCACTTCCCAAACCATGTCATCCTGAAGAAAACCGAGTGTACAAGAGAAAAGTTTCGGCAAGCTGTGTCGCTGAACCACCAGATGACTGCAGTTTCCTGGTTCGATAGTTCCATTGTCAAAATGATATCAAACGCTGACAGTTCAACAGCAACGGAGCTAACCCGTCGAGTAGGAAGTACAATGCAGCCTTACCGAGCCCCATCATGCGTATCGCAATACAACGAGCACATGCAGGGTGTCGACCGCCTGGACCAGCTGCGTGCGCGATTTTCCATCGCTGATGGACATTCCTTCAAAAAATGGTACAAGAAGCTGGCAATGTCACTAGTAGATGTCGCTAGAGTCAATGCATACATGTCGAGAAAGCTTGGCGTGGATATGAGTAAGGAGAGAGACCCTCACCGCGCTTTTGTGACTCAATTGGCCGAAGAGCTACTCTCTGGAAAATGGATGGAGGCACCAAGTGATCGCCGGATGCTGTACGGAAACGCACGTACTGGTAATAGTGTCGATCTATGTGGTGCTGCAACTACATGGAGTATGACAGTGGAAACACCCGATATTGTCGATAGCCCTAAAAAAGTTTGTACTACTGTTTCTTCGAAGCAACTTTTTACTGAGAGCAAGAAACGACGTCAATGCGTGATTTGTCGCTGGGAAAACCGCTTACCAACTGTCGTGACTGATCACTGTACGCTGCACAACGTATGCCTTTGTCAACTTCTTCACACCGCCCCAGAAAGACCGTACTTCTGCCAAACAGCACGATGGACGTGCTGGGAGAAGTTTCATAACTTTTACCTGCCTCGGAACCTTTTCTCCGTAAAGGGGAACATTATGAAGGCGTCCGAGCTATACAAGTTGAAGCAGAGCGACTCGACGTTACCTCCCCCACAGAACAAAAAGGGTCGAGCAGCTAGAAGAATTCTTTGATATTATCGATGTAAACATCAATATCTCTTTGTATAAATGTAAACGCTGATGAGGTTTGTCCAGCTCGCAGGTACTTGGATCACGTCCTCTATCTCCCAACGACTACAAAAATCTTTTGTACAAGCGCTGTTGTGGCGAGGGCACACCTCACTGGTAAACGCAACGACCCACGCGTTCAACATAAAAAATAACTCTCCGTTGATGTAATTGTTCGTGGACGGCTCAAACTTCAGATTATTTGCGAAGACAATGGTGGCTGTCGAGAACGGTGTTATCGCCGAGATTTTGATTTTGCGCACATCAGCACCATACAATTTCACTTTAGCAAGTGATGGCCACCGTAACGAATTGCTGCTAACTGCATTTGAGCCATGTCCGATGAGCTCGCGGCGAATTTCGACTCCGAGACTTGCTCGAACTGCCGTTTGTAGCGCGAATTGCCCCAATACGTTACCGATACCACAGCCGATGTCAAGAAACACATCTTGGGCATCAATAGTTTTGATTTTGGAGATAGCAGCGATAAGACTACTAATAGCAGCTGGAAGAAGCTCCCCAGCATTCAACGCCGGGGCTGCCGCAGGATAAATGATATCTTTTCTTGATGCATAATGAAAAATGGCTGACATCGTACCAGCTGCTGCGTGAGGAGATAGTAAACAGTTCTTTCGTGAATCAGATCGCTGCGTAGTAGACTGCGCCAACCCAATTGCATCCAAAGGCTGGATAGAGGCCACAGGTAAGGATGCCGGAAAGACCATTACTTCGCTACGCTCCTTTGCTTTTATCGCCACCGCCCCATGCACTTCACTAGGATAGGCTTCGATTTGCTGACTTGGCGTCACTTTCTCCGATTCCAACACGTTTTGTGTAGCTATGGGTGCCAACTGGCTGAGCTGTGTATCCATACAAATTGGGCTTGCTGTTGAGCTCAATGTGCTCTCTGGATCTTGTGGTGCTGGAGTGCAGGCTGCCGAATCTGCAACACCAGCGTGCTACGACGACCTCGCCGAGCTTGTACCTTAGTAAAAAATGACGGCGGAAAGCTTGTCAGATTCCTGCCAAATGTTCGCTTTAGAGCATTCAATCTCTGAGCGAGCTGCACGGGACTTCGTCTCCAGCGTCACATCTTCTTGGCCACCTCACTCCAAGCTACTTTGCTACCGCGCTCTGTGTAGGTGCGAGCGAGCTGCACTAGCGCCTTATCTTCTTCCTCCAAGAACGTGGTCCGAGGCATGGCGACAATTTAGAAATCGGCATGATAGCTCCAGCTTGTGCTGACGGTCGAGTATGCAAGCATCTTGATGAGACTATTGAAAAGTTACCATCTTCAGGGTACTAGCAGGGGAAACTTATCTTGCTTTAATTAATAGTCTATATCAGTAATTTTAGTCTTTTTGACTGCAATCAGAAGATACAAATGCTGTTGTTACAAATCGCGGTGTGTGGAAACATGGATACAAAGCAAAACATGCTTATAAAGCTCCTTTTGAAGCGATTTTCTTAGCGGCTCCTGAAAACCCGACAAAAGGTGCCAGAATAGCACCTTTTGCCGCAAAAGGGTTAAAGAATGGACAAGGTGTGGGATGCAAATGGCACGCCATCATCTTTACCGACGCTGACTGGTCAGGTGACACCTCGGACGCAAAGTCAGTGTCTGGCGCCGTACTGGTATTGAACTGCTCCGTGATTGCTTGGGCATCCAAGAAGCAAACGTCTGTTGCGCTCTCCACCATGGAGGCTGAATACGTGGCTGCTGCAATGGCGGTAATAGACGCTGTCTGGGTGAAGCAACTGCTCGTGGAAATTGGCCTCTGGACAAAGGAGAGGTTGATCAGTTTGCAAGTGGATAACCAGTCTGCTATCAAGACAATGTACATGTAGAATGAGATAACGACCACACGCAGTAAGCACATTAATGTGCTTTACCATTTTATTCGCGACGTGATCAAGCGTGGTGATGTGGCAGTATCCTACTGTCCCACGCAACAGCAGCTCACC